ATTTTTTAATGTAAATCTGATCATGACAGTTTCCTACTTAAGTCACTCTTTTCTCTTTATACTTAATCACACCATTACAAATCTAAGCTGACCTCTGCCTTCCTCTCCCATCACTCTCTCCCCCATTATGTTCGGAGCTTTCTTTCTGTTGCTAACAAGCTCTCACTTCAAGGCTCACTTCAGGCTGTCACATTTGCTGTTCTGTCTTTCCTCAGCTCCCATCCTTCAGACTTCAGTTCCCAAACGCCAACCCAGACGCATCTTCCCTGAACCCACTGTCAAAAGTAGCCCACCCCCAGAGCCAAACCTTATCACTTCTCTGCTTGTTTCCTTCAGAGCACTATAACCATCAGAAATAATCTTGTTTGTGCATTTGATTTCCATTGAAATAAAAGCCCTGCGAGGGCAGGAATCTTGTCTCTGTGTTCACAGTTAAGTCTCCAGCATCAAGAATATTACCAGGCACACAGAAGGCCTTCAGTATATATTTTTGGAAAGGACAAATAATCAAGAAAGAGAGCCAAGAGAGCAAAAGGGAGAAAAGGAAAGGAATGTGCTTTGAATTAAAAGAAATCTGAAAGACATAACTAAAGTCTATTGAGAGCTTCCTACATGCTAAGCACCATGTTCCAACCCATCCATGGGACAGTCAGAATCTCGAGTAAGTCACTTAATTTCTTAGACCTCAGATTGTGCATCTGTAAAAAGAAGGCCTAACATTCTAGGAGTATATAAGCCTCTACCTGCAGCCTCAGAGAGATACAAAGGGGGATATTTAGGCTATCTAAAGCAACCTCAGCAGACAGTGGAGGAGAAAACAGTATCAAACAGCAGACAAGCTGAGTGACCAGAATGAAGGTGTGAAGGGGGCTGGAAGCCCCCCCTGTAGTGAATGCCCGCCTCGCTTTTCTAGGAGGTGTCCTTTGAGCCATGGGAGGAAGCCTTTCCAAAGATCACCTGATCCCATCTCCTGGACTGAGGAAATAAAGTGTCATAATGCAGAGAGAAAGAAGTGCAGAAGGAGCACAGAGAAGCACAGGTGAGAGCTGGGAAAAGAGTTCTTTAACTTTCAAGTACTTGGCTCCAGGCCCTCCCAAAGGCCTGGCTTCCCTCCTGTTCTTGGTTTCATGAAACACCCAATAGCCTGAAAGAGTCTTTTATACTGAAGCTAGCTCGAGCTGGTTTCTGTTCCTGCTGACTATTTGTTGCTTTTGGAGGGCTGCCTTCAGTTGTTTGAGGAATTCCCCCACTTAAGAGTCTTGGTGGGAAGCAGAAAGCACCTCCCACCATGAAAGTTGAAAGTGTCAGGGATGGTTGAGGACATGACCCAGGTTCAACCAATTAGATATGCATATGTCATAAACCCATTGTAATAGGAGTGGCAATAGTAGCAGCATCCTGTGTCACCTGTGCTGGCAGTGTAAGCTAGGGTTTTCAGTGGCAGTGGCATCCGTGCCAGGTTGGCATTGTGTCATCATCACCCAGACTGCTACCCTGGCTGATGCCTGCCCTTCCTTGTTACCTCCCTTTATCTGGTGCCTCTTCTATCATTTTCCTGGCATTTCTCTGAACCACTTGACATGCTCTCAATTGATTCCTTTTCTACTTAAATCAGCCGGGACTGGTTTCTGTTGTCTGCAACTAAGACTCCAGTGGCAACCAAGAAACTCCAGTGTCTTTCCATAAAAGAGTCCCAACTAGTTCAAGGAGCTCAGCCTTGCCTGAGCCTTCTTTGAGTGTGTTTTCTAGCCTATCGACCCCTCTCCCCAACCACTGGTTCACAGAGAGAACCAGATGCAGGTCAAGTCTTTAGATGGACAATTTCCTACTGGACCTTACATTTGGTGCCCACGCATATGTTGCAAAAGCTGCTGGTGGCCCAGGCCCACCTATGTGTCAATTAGGAAAAGGCCTGATAAGCAGAAGGGGATTCCCTGTGCAGGGAATACCTGCACTTTCATACACAATGGCCTTGGTATCACATTTTTTCCAAGGCCGTGTTGGGCTGAGTTGGTATTTTAGGGAGAATATACTAAACACAGGCTTACAAATGAACAGAATCTACATTTGGTTTGGGTTGAGTAGGGAAGCCAGATTGGAAGCCATGGGCTTCACAGAGGCTTATACGCTGAAGGAGGCATAGAACCACTGTTTGCACTCTGGAATCTGTGGATGGGTTTGGGGGACAGGGAGTGTTTTAAAATCCTGGAATTATATATAAAATGTAATGGGGACCTATGCTTTTCTGGAGAGAGGGTCTATAACTCTCATTAGCTCTTCAAAAGGCTTTGTGATCTATCAACCACACACACACACATACACACACACACTCACTCACAACCACTGTTACGGTACTCTTTCATTTGACAGATAAGGAAAGAAAGAACCAGAGGTGTTCAGTATCTTTCCCAAGGTCACAGAGCTGATGAGTGGTCATGTCAGGATGAAAATCCAGGTCCACAGCTCAAACACCAAAACTCTCCATGCTTTAGGTAGCATTTGTATTATCATCCCAATGAGATATCTTTATCAGGAGAATTCTATCCAGTCAGGAATGTCCCAGAACTGGCAGCAAAGGCGTCACAGGAAGGCGTTTCCTAGCATGAGCAATGCAGCTTTTCTAAACATCAGTATTCCCCGGCCCCAGCCACTTCGCCCAGCCCTGGCCAGGTTAGAACAGGCCTGCAGTGGTGGTGGAGGCGATGAAGGGCCACCAGGGGTAAACCCCACCCTCCTACTGTTCCCCCCCCACTTCCCTGTCCCTGCAACTTGTAAGCACCTGCACATAGGGGCCAAGCAGAGACTCAGGAAGCCTGTGGGCAGGAAAGCCACAAGTTGCTCAACTAGTACTTTAAAACAAAAAAAGTTTAATATTTTGTAAAGTCCCACACAAATAATACTGGTCTCTCACACCACACCCAAGGCCACATGGGGGTAGGCAGCCTTGTACAGTCACATTCACCTTTCTCAAACAAGGCTTCCCTTTCTTGGGTGCTTATGATACTCATTTCATCTCATCGGTTTAAAATATCAGGGGCAGGGCCACCAAATAACTTCCCCAGTGGTTTACTTCCAGGAAGTTTGTTTCGTTTTTGAAAAACCTTAGGAATTACCATAATAACAACTAAGTTATGGTCCAGACACTATGGCAAGCAATTACCATGCATATAATAATTTGATCATCACAATAAGGATAAATCACATTATTGTCCCTAATTTATAGACAAGGAAGCTGAAGCCAAAGAGGTTCAGTGATCTGCTGAAAGTTACAAAACTGGTCGAAGGCAGAGCAATGATTTAAATCCAGGTCTCTTGGACTCCAGGGTCTAAACTGCTGGCTCTTCCTAGAGGTTGAATTGCCTCTCAGGAGACGGGGTGTCAGCTGGGATTTTGGAGAATCTGCAGCTTTCCCCAGCCCCTTCAAAGGTTCTAGGCACACAAAAAAGAGGATGTCCTGCTAAGTATTATATCTCCTTCCAATAAGAATCAGTACTTCAGAGAGTCTTAGACCATTAGATCCCAAAGAATTGCAGAGATTATCTCCTCCAACCTCTTCATTTTATAGATGAGGACAGCAAGGCTCAGGGAGGGCAAGCAACCAGTGCAGAAAACACAGCTAGCAAGCAGTCCCTCGACTCCAGCCCAGGAAGCCATACACCATGCCAGTATCTCCACAGGGGGAGACACTGTGTCCACTCGTATATAGGAGATGATTTTAGGGGTACACAGAAAAAACTTTAAATAGTGTTGATCTTGAAAGTGGATCTGCCATTCGATCCTACTGGGAATCCACCCAAAGGAAAAGAAGTCATTATATGAAAAAGACACTTGCACACCCATGTTTATAGCATCACAATTCACAATTACAAAAATATGGAACCAACCTAAATGCCTATCAACCAATGAGTGGATAAAGAAAATGTGGTATATATACCCCATGGAATACTACTCAGCCACAAAAAGGAATGAAATAATGGCATTCACAGCAACCTGGATGGAGCTGGAGACTATTGTTCTAAGTGAAGTAACTCAGGAATGGAAAACCAAATATCGTATGTTCTCACTTTTAAGTGGGAGCTCAGCTATGAGGATGCAAAGGCATAAGAATGATATAATGGACTTTAGGGACTCCGGGGGAAAGGGTGAGAGGGGTGAGGGATGAAAGACTGGACATTGGGTTCAATATACACTGTTCCAGCGATGGGTACACCGAAATCTCAGAAATCACCACTAAAGAACTTATCCATGTAACCAAACACCACTTGTTCCCAAAAACTATTGAAATTAAAAAATAAAAATAAAATAATGTTGATCAACATCATGAGAAAACTATTCCCTTTTCACTTCTGTTTTAGTCTTTCTGATTACTTGAAGGAGAATCTCAATTCAGTGCTAATATATCTTTGACAGCCTTCCTTAAACATTTCCTTAAGAAACTCTTTTAAGAGAGAAAATGGATCCTTGGTGGGAAACCGTATCAGTATCAGCAAGAACTTAGTACCATTGCTTTTTTTCTTTTTGTCTTGGTTACTCTCCAATTATGTCAAATGATGCAAATTTTCCATTGACACATTAAAGTTTCCGTTTAAATATATGTATTCATGTTAAAAAAAAATTAAGTTGATTTAAAGAAAAATACTAAACGAACACTGCTCACTGCCTATAACAATTTTTTAAAGCAGTATCAATGAAAATAAACATGTTACTTTGTAATCACTGTGTAAGCAAGTCACTCAGTAAGGAAACTAAAATTTTAAAGCATGTGACTGTACTCATGCTGGGTACATGTGACCAGAAATCTATCACGCTAACATGGGGGTGAGCACCACGATCTGTGACTTCTTCGTGTCACTCCCCACCACAACCCCTGTACCACTCCGCGGACGTCAGGAGGAGTCTAACCGGGCGATTCCAGTTGAAGGAGAAACGGCCAACGCCACTACGGAGGCGGACTGACTGTGCGAGCAGATCGCAGCAGGGAAAGCGGTATGCCGCCCCCTGGTGGGCAGTTAGGAAATTAGCCCGGCACCTTTGTCATCTGGTGTAGATAGACAAGCCTAATGCTTGTTAAGACATACTTTCCTAAAAGGAAAAGGTCTCATTTGCATTCTATGTAAGCGGACATGTAAGCATAGGCATACACTGCCTGTGGATATCACTTCAGGATAGTACAGGAGGTATTACGAAATCTTTCATACAGAAAGGGGCTTTTATGTCTGATAAGGCTGAGAACTACTGTCCTAGAGCAGCAGGACCCGGCGCTCCCTGCTTGACTTAACAGCCAGGGAAGGACAAGCTTCTCTGGAGACCGCTTCGTGGTACCAAGTGTGCCTTCTAGCTCGATGTTGCAAAAGTTACTTAACCAATCAGAGCCCAAGTTTCCAACCGTCAGTAATGAATGCTCACGCATACCCACACCCCATGGCGTTGCTCTGAGAGTCCAAAGGACGATGCGTGTGAGGCACTTAGCACTGATCTGGCAGCAAGTAAGTACTTATCAATGTCAGGTGGTGGTGGTAACAGCGCTCTCCCTTCCACCAACCTTTCCACCCCAGTTTTATTAAAAGAGGTCTGATTTAAAAGAAAAGAGGAAAAAGAAAAAAAAATCAGGATTTTCAAGCAAAACTTACCACATCCATCAAGCTGAGGAAATCCTAAAGATATCAGATCTCAACCTACCACCCATCTCAGCTGAAAGAACATTTCTAAATTAGAGGAAGCTGCGAATGACTGACTGAGAAGGCAGGAGGTGCCCTCTAGTGGCATGGTTACATTAGCTTGGGAGGAAAGGTGATGTAGATCATTTTCAAAGGGAAGGACGAAACCAATTGTTAAACTGAGGCAGGAGATGCTTCAAAGATGTAAGTGGGAATTTACCGTCTACTCTGTGGACCATTGAAGATGCCTTTAGGATCTGACCGTAGCCAACAGCAAGTGGCATGCTGAAGGTCAGATCAGTTAGTCAAGGGCGGAGCTGGGAATTGAACAAATCCAGAAATCTCGCTCTTGACAGCAATCCTCTTGCTAGTAGGAGCTGTGGCTTGTGTCATTTTACATCCTTCAAAGCAGGAACCACAGGGTTTTGTATACATAGATAGAGTATTCAATAAATTACTTGATGAAATAGTATTTACAAAATGATCGTTTGTGAAATAATGAATAATACATTATTTCATTTGTTGCTCACAATAACTGTGAGACAGCCTAGTTTCCTGATAAGGAAATTAAGTCTCTGGTCAAGTAACTTGCCTAAGATCACAAAGCCAGGATTCAAACCAAGCATATTAACTCCAGAGCCTGGGTGCTCATCCACTAGACATGCTGTTCTCAAACTGTTTGGTCTCAGAATTCCTTTACAGTCTGGGTTTTGTTGTTGTTGTTTGTGGAGATGGGGTTTTACTATGCTCAAGCAATCCTCCCACTTCAGCCTCCCAAAGCACTGGGATTATAGATGCAAGCCACCTGGCCTGGCTTCTTTTACACTCTTAAAAAAATTTTAAAGGATGAAAAAGAGTCTTTGTTTGTAAGGATTATACCTATCAATCTTTACAGTTTTAGAAATTAAAGCTGAGGAGTTTAAAATATATTTACTTATTTAACATTACCATAATAAACCAATTAATTATAACATAATTAACATAATTTTATAAAAAGTATTTTCCTAAACCAAAAAAAAAAACTGCATTTAGAAAATTAACATGACATTGTTTTACATTTCTGAAAATCTCTACTATCTGGCTTAAGACCGCTGATTCTCATATCTGCTTCTTCATTTGCTCTGCTATAATACCACACTTGGAGTAGCTCCTGGAAAACTCTACTGTACACTGTGAAAGAATGAAAATTTAAGAGGCAAATAACATCCTGGCACTATTGTTGAAATGATTTTGATGTCATGTATCCCTAAAAGGTCTTAGGGACCCCTGGTATGTCTAGGTACCCTTTGAAAAGCACTGGTGTACAATATGCTGTCCACAGGGCAAGTGAACAAAGGGCTCTGCCCTCCTGAGAGTCACATCTCCAGGGAGTTCATTCCACCTGTAATGTTCTTAGTGACTTCACAAACTCATTTCAACCTCTTTATTTTTTACATTCTGGCTCTTTTCCTGGCAATTGCATATCCTTGAAGGCAACTCTTTCTTCCTCTGTGTTCTGGATGCAGCCAGCCATCAGGGCGATGATGAGTGCCAAAACAGAATCCTTCAAGCAATAAAGAGGGTCTTTGCTTTAATCCTAGATGCCTCTATATAAAGAACTATTTGTATTAGTCTGTTCTCACGCTGCTATGAAGAAATACCCAAGACTGGGTAATTTATAAAGGAAAGAGGTTTAATTGACTCACAGTTCTGCAGGGCTGGGGAGGCCTCAGGAAATTTACAGTCATGAAGGAAAGGGAAGCAAACACGTCCTTCTTCACATGGTGGCAGCAAGGAGAAGTACAGAGCAAAGGTGGGGAAAAGCCCCTTATAAAACCATCAAATCTTGTGAGAACTCACTATCATGAGAACAGCATGGAGGTAACCACCCCCATTATTCAATTACCTCCCACCAGGCACCTCCTACGATATGCGGGGATTATGTGAGCTACAATTCAAGATGAGATTCTGGTAGGGACACAGCCAAACTATATCACTATTCATTCCTATTATTCCACTTCTAGGGAAAAGAACTTCTTAGAAATTCTCACTCAATTTCACCTAGACTAAGAAGCCCGGTGTCAAGAAGTGATACTCCCAATTGTGTTTTATTAAAATATGTAAATGAGTCGTGAATAGCAGTATCCTAAAAGACATCATATTTCACAGCTAGAGGGGGGCTTCCCTGGCTGCCATCCCTCCCTGGTCACCAACCCTCATGTGGCCTTCCCATCAGCATCAGTGAAGAGGGGACCCCTGTTCCACTCCATTCTCCACTATAACAATAGGGAGATGGGATAGTGTACTCTTGGATCCTCACTATTGCCTCCAGACCACACGCTCCCTCCCTCTGCCCTAAAACTCTAGCTTGGAATCTTATATCATCAAACAGGCCCATCCACTGCTTATCTCATTGCAAACACTTGTGTCATTCCCTTCTCTCCTTAAAGATTTTTGTCTGTAGCTCACTGCCATTCTCTTTACTATTGGTCCTTCATTCTGTCTATGCCTTCCAAGATGCTATCCTCTGAATTCCTTGGCAATTCTCCAATGAGCTTGTCTTCCATCTACCGCAACCACCCAGTCCCATGGTCATCTCCTAGACACTGTCACTACGAAAAACTTCAAACTCTCCATAACTGATTATCTGATCTTCGAGCACCCCACTCTCCATCTTCCCAGCTCAACATTACTCTGCCTCCTTCTTTTGGTCTTTCAGGGACATACACTTAAAACCCAAACTCATTTTCACGGCCCCTAAGATCCTCCATGATACAACATGTCCCTACTTCTCTGGCCCTGTCTCCTGCCCCTCTCCCTATCACTCACTACCCTCCAGCCCTGCCGACCTTTTTGCAATTCCTCAAACATACTAAATCCATTCCTACATCAGTGGCTTTGCAAATGTTCTCTAACTTCCTTGATAGATACAGCCCTGGAAGTCCTCTGTGTATCTCTTTCAGTTCCTTCAAATCTTTGTTCGAAAGTACGTTCTCACTTCTCCAAAACTTCTCTATTTAACATTGCAATTCCTCCACCTACCCATACACCCACAGGACAGACTCCTTTCCACTCTATTTTTTTTCCACTACACCTATCACCTTCTAACATACCATGTAATTGACTATTTTGTAGATAGTCTGTTTCTTCTGGCTGCAATGTAAGTTTCATAAGGAGGGCAAAGATTTTTGTCTGTTTTGTTCAGTGCAGTATCCTTGGTACCTAGAAGAGTGCCTGGCTCACAGTGGCCAATTGATTTTTCTTTTTGCATGAGGAAAATTAGATTATGCAGATCTGAAACAATAAAAAGGATCACTAAATCTCACTTCTACATAAAATTTTAAATCTATCGATGTTTTAGAATTTATCAAGAATCATCTAATTTCACTTTTATTGGGTTTAAAAGTAATGTTTATGCTTTTGCCATATGACTTTATTTCTTTAACAGCAACACTTGATATCTATTATAAATTGTGTCCCTCCTCCCCACCTCAAAGTTCATATGTTGAAGTCCTCACCCCCAGCACCTCAGAATGTGACTGTATTTGGAAATAGGGCCAGTAAAGAGCTAATCAAGTTAAAATGGGGTCATTAGGGTGGGCCTAATCCAATCTAACTGCTGTCGTTAGGAGAAGGGCACATATAACACAGAGGAAAGACTGTGAGAGGACACAGTGAGAAGCCAGGGACACGACTACAATAGAAAAAGAGAGTCCTCAGAAGAAACCAACCCTGCCACACCTCGGTCATGGACTTCCAGCCTCCAGAGTCCTAAGAAAATAAATGTCCATTGTTTCAGTCCCTCAGTCTGCGGTATTCTGTTATGGCAGCCCTAGCACACAAATACAACATCCACGTCAGGAGTAGTCTTAAATTACATAAATTTATGGTAATTATACAAGGTCTTCAGGAACACAACCCTCCCATAAAACTGACAGCCCTGTGTCTGAGTACCCAGTAGGCTCCAAGCACCGTGTAGTTTTTGTCTGCTGCTTTCTTAGTTCCCCCTTCTTTCTCTGTCTCTTTTTTAAGGTATGAATCCATGCCTGCCTTTCCCTCTCTCCCCTTTAGCATCTCACATACCACCCGCTGCCTCTAACTACAAGACTGAAATACGATGTGTGTACGGCTCTAGTCACATGCCCAGTTTTCAAACTATGAATACAGAACATCATACTCAACTAACTTTTCATCTTTCCAGTAAGATGAAGATGCTTCTTAGTCATGTGACCTGCCCCTGACTTACACTTCTAGGCTAGTGTCCCTTCCTGCAAGAGTGCAGGAAGCCAGGAGCCAGCCTGGCTTGGGCTCTGAGCAGCATACCAAAGGCAGGCAGCTCTCACCTCTGCAGCAGGGCTGCAAAGCGGAGGTGAGTGCTAGTGCATGCCATTGCCATGGAAACCCACTCCCACTCCTCAGGCAGCAGAGGAAAGTGGGGCCTGCGGTCTGCTCCACTATGTGCTCTGAGAAGAGAAATGGCTCATCAGTCCCAGGCTCCTCTTGTAGGAAAAAGAGGCCTCTTCAGAAGGGAGTGTAGGCACAAATCCTCCCAGGAGTCTGTGCACACAGAAACAAAGGGAGCCACTTTGCACTCGTTCTTCCTGCCGTCATTCAATTCCACAAACTGATCATTCGTCTACTCCAGGCAAGACACTGGACTTGGAGACTGCAAGGATAAACAAGACCCTCGTCCAAGTTCACTCTGGCTAAAAAGGAGAGACAGATCTGCTGTGTGATTGTTCCTATTGCTTGAAAACATGCAGCTAAGGCCCCCAAAAGCCACTGAGTATAGCATATTCTAAAGTTAGCTCCGGGCTTACCAAGAGATGCCAGTCCTAGGAGCATCAACCATCAGAAGCAGAAAGAGGCTTGATAGATGAGGTGGTCCACTTTTGGGGTGTTTGCAGAGAAAAGCCGTGTCCATGGTGGGAGAGGTGTTCCTCTCCTTCCTGCAGCCATGAAGAGTTTTAAATGAACACATAAAGATAGGAATCTTCAGGAAGGGGAGAATGGCCTCTCACCCCCAGATACACATCTGCTGAGTTGAAGGAGAAATAGGTAAGCCCATGCTGGTGCCACCAACAGAACCAAGACTGGTGAGAGCGAGGGCTCTTGAGAGAGCATTCTGGGACTATTGGTGCCTCCTTTTGAGTCTTCTCACTGCACTATGGGGAGAAGGAGAGGATCATCGGCATGTGGAGACTGACTGCAACTTAAAGATTGGTACCTGCTCCTGGCCCAGCGATTTCTCACAGTGGGACACCTGCTGGAGTACTCAGGCCTCCAGGGAAACCTTCACCCCGTCCTGGTTCTGCAGCCCTCAAAGAATATGGAAAAGACCCCAGTGGTTAATAGTGGAAGGGCAGAGGCCACGGACAGCCCCTGGACCAAGCAATAGGAGGACCCACCTGAGAAAGGTGTGGGAAGAAAGCCAGGCTGCCATGCTCAGGAGGGACAGCCATGGAGGAGAGGGTGATTCTCTACATAAGGACCTGCCCATGAGCGAGGCTGCCAGCATGGTGCAGAGGGCAACAGCCAAAACGAAGCCAGCACCTTCCCCATAGCCAACAAGTAGCCTGTCACACGAGCAGACTCTCTTCTCCCTCCAGCTGTCCTCCCAGGCTTGTGGGGCTGGACTAAGCCCCCACAAGGGTCCTAACACCGGAAGGGGAGAGGGGACATGTGTGGTGAGCAGAGCATACACATGGGCTTTTGCTGAGCTCTCGCCTGTCCTGGGGGAAAGGGAGAAGAACCTGAAATAGGTTTGAACCTTGAGTTTTAAAATAAGCAAAGTTTAATTTTAACCGAAAGTACCTGGAAAGCTGTGAAATCTGTCTGAATGCTGCTCAGCATCACCCACCCACCCAGAAAGGAGGATGGGTCAACAAAACATGGTTGGTGGCAATTAAGGAAGAAAGAAACCCAGTTTATATTTCCCCTGCAGAGCTGGAGCTTCTCGGTGAACGGGTTATACCTGGGCTCGGCGGGGCACAGGCAAACAGATGACCAGGAACTGTCTAGGGTGAGAGAAGCTGACCTCCTAGACTTGTGCCTGCCCCCACCACTCTCTCTCTGGAAACCTTGAAGTCAGGCTCCCTGGCCCTGATACTGTGTGATGCTAACAGTGGGTACAATGCAGTCACTGGGTCTCTAGGAACATGGATCCCCAGGGACTGATGACATCTTAACTCATTTCAGCAAGTCCCTGAGCACCTGTCACATGCCAGGCAGAGAATACATCACCGCACAGGACACACCTCATCCAGCTCCCAGTATAGCGGAGAGGGCCAGACACAGCTGAGCATGGTAAGCGCAAGGAAAAAGCTAAGGTGAGGGGCTAATTGAGCAAATTAGGGGATACATAGTCTGATCTTAGGGTATCAGAAAAGGCTTCTGGTAAGAAAAGCATCTCACTGGAGTACTAGAGATGGACAGGTGTGAACCAGGTGAATGAGGAGAGGAAATTACAACCCCAAGGAGCCACCTCAAGGCCATGTGAGCCACACTGATCAACTCAGACTTCATCTGGGTGGCAGAGGGACATCATTCCAAAGTAAATGAAGTGGGGAATGAGTGCTTGATGGTGGGTTTATTTTTGGGGGTGATGAAAGTGTTCTGAAATTAGATAGTGGTGATAGTTGCATATACTGCATGAACTAAAAGTCACTGAATTGTATGTTTTTAAATGAATTCTTATGTGAATGTCACGTCAATTTAAAAAAAAAAAAAAGAAAAAAAAAGGACAGGCGTGGTGGCTCACGCCTGTAATCCCAGCACTTTGGGAGGCCGAGGTGGGTGGATCACGAGGTGAGGAGATCAAGACCATCCAGGCTAACATGGACCCCATCTCTACTAAAAATACAAAAAAAAAAAAAAATTAGCCAGGCATGGTGGTAGGCACCTGTTATCCCAGCTACTCAGGAGACCGAGACAGGAGAATGGCATGAACCCAGGAGACAGAGCTTGCAGTGAGCCAAGATCGTGCCACTGCACTCTCGCCTGGGTGACCCAGCGAGACTCCATCTCAAAAAAAAAAAAAAAAAAAAAGGAATACCTGGAAGGAACTTTCAAAGGCAACCAAGATGGAGTAACAGGGACCAGATTTACTCTCCTGCCTGAAACTAAAAAACAAGACAAAATAGATGAAACAAGGGCTTCCCAAACAGCAGACATCAGGCGACGAAGAATAGCAATGCCTGAGGAATGTGAGATAAGTGAGGTGAGGCTGATGACTGTCCTCACTGGCTACTTTTGAGTTTCCAGGCCTCAGAGTAGGGAGGGGAGGGAGGCAGGCAGAGCCCAGTGAATTTCCTGAGTTGAAGAGACAGAGCAGAGTCAGGCCAAGGCAGGCCAAGTTTGCAGAGCACAGCACTGAAGAGGAGAGAGCTGCACAGAGAGAACCCTGGAAATTTGTAGGGGGTCTCCCTGTAATATTCAGAAGGGCGCGGATCCATATATGCATGAGAAAACAAGCTGAAAAGATCAGAGGGAAGAATTCCTGAAGCCCACACAGGGCTGGGAATAGTGTCTTCTCCCACCAGCTAGACGGGAAAACCTCATAATTCAGGGAGCGGCAGAATCCTAAGCGTCTGACACTTCAGTAGCAGTGGGAAATTAGCCCTGGGCTAAATGCTGCTCTGGTGATGCCTAACCTTAAAGGCAAGTCTCAAATGAATCAAATTGCTTCTAGGTACCTTACCCATACTCCAGAACAAAGGTTTAGAATATTAATAGAATTGTAAAAACACCCAGCATGAAAAAAGGTAAAATCCACGGCTGGCATGCAAAGAAGCAGGAAAATACAACTTGTGGTAAGAAAGAAGAAATGGTAGCAAGATAATGGCATTTCTGACTGTTAGCTCCTACTCTAAGAAGGTACAGGATCCTGAGAGGCAGTCTCAAAGGTGGTGTAGAGAAAGGTAGAAGGATTGCAGAGTTGTAAAGGTATGAATAAAGTCTGTCTTATTTCAAAAAGTGTCAGAACTTAACAAAATAGCAACAACCCCCACAAGATGCAAATTATCTGTATTAATGGAGGAGCATCTGCTTAAGGTTCTCAGTCTCAACACACATTATGCACACTGCAATCTGATTAACAGCAGATGAAAAGATCAGATCCCTCCATACTCAGTTGTGACCCAGAGGACAGCAATTAATTGGTAAGGGACTGACTAGTCTCCTTGCTCCAAGCCCTTGGTTCCCTCTACCACAAAAGACAATTTTCCAAAGCTTCAGTTTGTGTTGCAGAGTATGAAAGCCATTCAGAACTACACTTTGGTTTTTTCGTTGTTTTTGAGTGTCTCACTCTACCACCCAGGCTGGATTACAGTGGCATTATAGCCACTCAAGTTGTAAGCTTGAACTCCTGGGCTCAAGCGATCCTCCTGCCTCAACCTCCTGAGACTAGGACTACAGGTACGTGCCATCACACCCCGCTAATTATTTTTAATTTTTTTAGAGACAAGGGTCTTACTACATGGCCCAGATTGATCTCGAGCTCCTGGGATCAAGCAGTCCTCCCGCCTCACACTCTCAAGTGCTGAGATTACCAGTGTGAGCCACTGTGTCCAACCTATACTTTGCTTTTCTTAGCAGTCCTATTTTACCTGAAGATGCTAAATCTAACTCTCCCCTAAAGCCAAATGCCCTAGTAGTCTTATGGTATTATCTTCTCCTAGAAGTCTGCCTTTCTACTAATTCCAGAAAGTCACACGGATTCAGTTATATTTAGAAGGTAAAACGTTTTAAAATCAGGATAAGCAGTTGTGGGTGTTCTTAGTATTTCACGCCTAATATCC